ATTCTGGTATGAAAATGTGGGTGAGTCTGGCTTCAAGGTGTATGTCACTACCGTTAAGTCTAGAAGGTCATTTCCTCAGTTCTGTGTTTCAGACACATTGTTCTTTGCAGGGCAGATCTCCAGATAAATAAATATTACGTAGGCAAAGAGGACTTTCTGCACTTACCAGCAACTGAGTTGGTTTTTTTTCCTTCTGTTGTAGGAACAATCTTTTCAGATACATCCGTATGCTCATCAGGAGGAGTATATATTAGTTGAAGAGCCTCATTGGCTCTTCCTGTTAAGAGGAAGGGGATTGTTTCAATTTGGCATCATGGATATAAATTAAGAATTAGTTCATAAGCATGTATACCGTATGGGGCCATGAGGAGTGCATGTTGCTTTTGATACAAGATTGGTATATGTTCCTAAAGGAGCTGGCATGCTTGTTGAGAAGACTTTACTTACTGGAAGAAGCAGTCTTATTTGGCAAGTTCATTCAACAAAATTTATTCATTATTTACTGAAGACCTACCCTTTCTCAGGCTCTATGTTGAGAATTCGGGTGAACAATATCGCCATATCTCTCAGTGCAGGAAACAGAATCTAAAATATCCCATCAAATTCTATTGTGATTAATGTCCCAGTTCAGTGTTTGTTTTCTCATATTTGAAACCCATCTTGAGCACATCCCTAGTAGGATCTGTGTTATCTTGGAGAAGCAGCTGCTTGCTTACTGTGGTTTATCTTTGACCTGGTGAGCTCCATATGCTTGGAGATTTGTCTGTCTTCTGCTGGGTGGGTACAGGAAATCCTAAAGCAAGCCTAATCTTTGGGTCTGCCCAATAGTAGTTTTCTAAACTCTAGGTTAGTCAGTCAAACCAGCTCAATCACGCTAGCTTCCTGAGGATTGGCTGCTGATGCTGACAGATGAAGCTTTTGGGAGATTAATAGAGGCATCAAAGGTACCCTGAGTATGTAGCCCCTGGGTCTTCAGTCCGTTATGGCTTCCTGGGTAAGAAATGGTCTGTTGGGTTGCAGTGAGATGCAGCTTGTGAAAGAAAAGTTACTGTGCTGCTTCTAACAGCCTGGGCTGAGATAATGCCAGAAAGATACACAAGGAATGAAGACGAAGGCATTGGAACTTTTCTGGATTGTCTTGCTTTAATAAGCAAAATGGTGGTCCAGCTGCTTCTCTTCTTCCTACCATTTCTGGCCAATATGTAAACTGTAAATGAAAACAAAAACTTATTCCCATTTCTACGCAGTGGCTTCTTACTGTGGACTTCGTATACAAGGATTTGAGCAAAACAGTTAAAATCCAGGAAAACATTTCTAAAGCAAGTGTTGGAAACCAAGGTGAAGTGAACTATAAAGATTTTGTTCTCCAGTGAGGAGCTCTGTATCAAGCTAGGATTTGACAGCCAAGATAACTGAGAAAAAAAGCGCCTTCATACTCTTCTGCTTATTAGTTGAGTGACTATGGTGAGCATCTACCAAGATGGCCCGTTTCTCTCGGCATTTAGTGTTTGTGCCCTTGTGTGAGCTCTTTCCCTTGAGTGTGGGCTGGACCTGGTGATTTGCGTCTAGTGAAAAGTGATGGCTTGTCATTTCTGAGATTGGGTTACAGAAAGACTGTGGCTTCCATCTTGGTCTGTTGCTCTGTCTTTCTCATCTCCTCTGAGGGAAGCCTACTGCCATGTTGTGAACTGTCTTGGGGAGACCCACATCACAAGACATTGAGGAGGCCTCCTGCTAACAGCCAGTGAGGAAAAGGGGCCCTCAGTCCAGTGTCCCTGGAACTGAGTCCCACCAACAGCCGTGTGCACGAGCTTGGAAGTGGATCATCCCCCAGGGAAGCCTTGAGAGGACGTCAGCCCAGGTGGATCCTCTGAGGTAACCTCACAAGAGATCTTGAGTCAGAGGTACTGGTTAAGCTGTACCTAAATTCCTGATTCACAGAAACTGAGATAGTGAATGTAATTTGGTGTACATCACTATATTAATACAGGCAGCTTATGTTAAAAGTATTGCTCTTCTCTGAGAAGCATCCCATGGAGTTGTTAGAAACACATACTCTTGAGCCAGACTGCATGACTTCCAATTCTAGCTCTGCCATTTATTTTTTTTTTGCTTTTTTTTTGTTTTTTCCAGTACCGGGAATCGAATTCACAACTCGCGCTTGCCAGGCAGGCGCTGTGCCGCTGAGCTAAATCCCCAGCCCCTAGCTCTGCCATTTATTAATTGGGTGATTCTTGGGAAGGTCACTCAACCTTTCTGTGCCTCAGTTTCCTCATGTGTAAACAGGAAATACAGTTTTTGGTTTCCAGTCTGTATATTCCAGGAAGATTAGGTAGAAGGGGTAGAAATAGGTTTTAATTGACACAGTCCACAGTGTCTGTCACAGTGAATATAAAGGAGAGGTGACATTAGTAGTGTTTTGTCTCTATCAAGCCTCTTAACTCCACGATCAGGTGCTTTCCATTTGGCTGGTGGTCATTTGCCAGAGGAAGGAGGAGTGAGACCTTAGCAGCCAACACACAGCCCCTGGAAGATAGATGCACTGGTCCTTAAAGGCCATTAACGAAATCTCCACAGCGATTTTCTGGTGGTCTGGAAGCAAATGATCACTGTGTTCATTTTTCCATCCTCACCATTTCCTTGATGCCATGGAGACATATCCGTTGCATCTGTAATTTCATGCCATAGGCCTGTGAAGCACACAGCTCATCTCTTCTCAAAACTAAATTACATGTTTAAGAAAAGACTTCACTTGGACCACAGATTTCACCAGCCTGGTTAAAGTTGCTAAGCCTGGCTTCCATCTGTAGAAGTGAAGATATGTGACATTTCAATATATTGACAAAATGCATGTGACCTGTGGTTAGCCTTCCACAAGGCTCAGCACAGACATAAATAAGTGACAGAGTGGTCGGAAGGGTGGGCAGCATAGCCCTCCCTTGAACTTGAGGACTGTTCTTCCCTGGTTGCTGCATCTGATCACTGTCAGTAGTAATGAGGTTGGCTCTTCCCACAGGTGCTACGTTCATTGTGGACTATTTACTGGGTGGTTTCTTTCCTTTCTTTTTAAAACTAGGTTCCTTCAATTCTGTTTCTCTGTGTAAAAAAAAAAAAAAAAAAATTAATTTTTTATCTATGGAAATAGACGCATGCAAACACAAGATCGCTCGCCTCAGTTGTTGAGCCTCTTGTATCTTCATGCTGTTTTTACTTTATCTGTTCGCTAGCAGGAAAATAAAATTGCGTTCGATTGACATGCTGTCCTGCTGAGAACTCAGACATATTACACCCATTCTGTGTGTTCCTACTTGCAATGAAATGGTGGAAAGTCCCTGGCAAACCTTAAATGAGATGGGCACCCGTGATTTATCCGGGATTGGAAGGAATGTAATAATTTACTCATTTTTCCCCATTAAAGGAATACCACATGAATTGAGGCAGCTGAAGCTGTGTGAACACAAGTGTGCATTAGTGGAGACGCCATTAATAATTTACCTTAACAGTGTAATAGTTGCCATTTTTGTGACCAAAATTTGTTTCAACCATTGCTTTATGGATGAAAAGTGGGATCAATTAATATTGAGTGATGACAGCCTCCCTGTGGAGAGAAAATGGGAAATCTTGGTGTCGTCATCTGCCTTGTGACTAAGAAATAGCTTTTCTTAATTGTACAGAACAGAGAAACCCAGGGGGATGTAATTCATTTCTCTCCAGCTTGCGATGCAAATTGAAAGTAAAGAAAAATAACCGTGTACAGAGTGGGAACAGGAGCTCAGCCATGGAGCCATGACTGACTGGGAGGACTGCTGCAAACAAGCAAAGCCCCTTCTCAGCCCCATGATGGAGTCTCCTTTGACTGTAGCATTGCTCCAAGTACTGCTTGTGTCATGTGACCAAGGGTGTTTCTTTGTAGTGGTGTCCTCTGCTTGGAAGCCTTTTTTTTTTTTAATTTTATTTTTATTTTAAAGAATAAAAGAAGGATAACATAATAATAGGGGGGACTTAGCAAATTACAGACAAAATGGTAGGAAATTATCAATGGTTATCATTTTACATATTATTGTCTACAAAATAGTTTCTCAGGAAAACAAATAAACAAATAATAGTGAGTTACAGACAAAAGAGGTAGGAGATTATCAAGAGTTGTTGTACTATACTTTGGTATCTTCAAAGTGGCTTCTAAAGAAAATAAATAGAGCTATACATGAGTGACCTATTGAAAAATCATTAACTACTCTCAATGGTTGTTGTAGGAAACACATAATGATAAACATACATCCATTTATGAAATAGGATAGGAACGTTACAAACTTTACACAGTTATGGATAGATTAGTAGGAAAATATCAATGGCTGCTGTAATACGTGGTGGTATCTTCAGAGTGGTTTCTCAGGAAGACAGAGATATGCAAGAGGGACCTATTAAGGAGTTACAGCCTAAGGGTTGTCAAAAATAGCATATTACCTCCTCACCAGTGACTCCTTTCACTGAGGTATGATGGCTGGAAGGAAGGCCAGGATTGAAAAGAAGGACTGAGAGACTTGCACCTGTGTCTAGCAACAGGCTGTTTTCTTGTTCCTCCATAGTCATGATTACCCAGGACTCCTCGATGGAGATGATGGTCTGGCCAGAGGGAGAAGGCAGACCATGCCCCAAGCCCTCTCATTCCTGTTGGACTAACTGGTAGCATGGGTCTGATCTCTGGGGCCTCCACCTCAGAGGGCAGACCGATCTCCAGTGGTCTCCTTTGCATCCAGGGCATGGTCCATGGGGCCTCTTAGGGCAGTTCCTCTTGAGGTGGCCTGGCTTTTAACAGTGGTAGCAGATGAATGCAGTTGTCGAGTTCTTCTTGGAGCCCCGGGAATCAGACCTGGGATCTGTTTCTCTTAGTGGTGCAGCAAAAGCAGCTGCTTTTTCTCGGTCTCTTTGTTTTCTCTCCTTGGCCTCCTCCTCATCATGGCTATAGAATACTGAGGAGGCAATTCTTACTAACATCTCAAGTGAGCTATCTGGGGTGAAAGCCATTCTTTGTAGCTTTTTCTCTCTGCTTGGAAGCCTTTGTTCCAGATCTTTCTCAGGACTCATTCCTTCCCATCCTCAGAGTCTCTATGCAAAACAACTTCCTCCTCCCACTCTGCACAAAACAGCGCACCCTCTGGACCTACTCACCCTCCACTTTTCGGTTTATTTTTTTCATGGAACTTGGCATCATCTGCGTTCTTACTGTTGTATTATTTAGCTGCTAATCATGGTATCCCCTGTCTGTAATGTAAGCTCCATGAAGGCATGGCTTTGCCTTCTTCATGACGGAGTCCTCGGCACCTCAATGCTGAGAGCATTTTTTGAGTGACTAAGTGAATAAAAGGGTAATATTAAAATTCTATAATGCAGGATGATTTAAAATATCTTGCATATGCACACCAACCTTCTTTAAAGGTGAATCGACTTCAGATGACACAAAGTTGGCCCTCTGAATGTTTTTGCTACCATTACTTTTATGTATTTATGTCCCTAGCCAGAAATGCCTGCATGTAACCATCTTATGGACAGTGGGGCTTTGGAGCAGACCTTCCGCAAATGGCTGTCTTGAGAATCTGTGTGTGTCATGGTAGTGACCACAGTTCTTTATTTATTCAGTGCCTCTTTTCTGTGCTGGGTTTTAAGTACTTTGAAGATAGAGGCTATTTCTGGCTCGTTAACTGCTGTGCCCTCAGGATTAGCCGTGAGTTAGGCGAGGTTGTTCTGAGAGTGTCAGTGGATGGGGAGGTTGGCATCACCTGGGCTTCCAGGACGCAGTGCTACAACAAAGCAGCCCCTTCTCCCCTTCCCTGCCGTCTTACATTTCCCCGGCTGGAGGAGCCTACTCGGGATTCAGCTGGCAAAGGAAGTGTGCAGTTTGCACAGCCTGGCCCCCACCGCACAAATCAGCACCTAGAAGGATGGATTTGGAGCTGAAGACAGCAAACAACTAACTAGCCACACACCCAGCCTTTCAGATTTGCAGCCTCTGCTCCTCCTTCTGACACTGGTACCACGACAAAACAACAAAGCCGTCTTGTGTTCTGCCTGCCACGCTGCAACTGGGCTTCAGACATTCTCAGTCACCAACAAATGTAAAGTTCCCCTTGGCATGGTGTTTGTCTCTGGGTAGGGGCAGGAATTGCCTTCCTGTTTAGTCCAGTTGATGGAATTAGCCTTGTGCAGATATGGAGACCACAAGTGCTGGGACCTGCCTTTCACTCTCTGCCAGTCCTGCTTGTAGCTGTGGTATTTTCTGCCTGGTAGAATGATGGAGGAAGCTAAGTCTTCAGTGGTTCTCTCTGTCTCACTTTGTCGCTGTGTCTCCGTAGTTCAGTTTTCTGCTGATGTTGACTCTTAGGGATAGAAGGAACGAAAGACACTTTGGGTCTGTTGGGTCCAGGCATACTGTTTCTTAACACCTCCCACCTGCATCGTATGGCAGGAGTCCAGTTTCCCCTTGGAAATTAGGGTCACTCAGCTCAGCCAGTAGGGCAGTCACCTTCTTTGCCTTTTATTTCTACTTTTTTTTTTTTTGTCTTTTTGAGACAGGGTCTCGCTATGCAGTTCCGACTAGTCTTGAACTCACTTTGTAGCCCAGAGCAGATGAGGGACATGTCTCCCACCAGGTCTGCAGGGCTCGGAACTGGCCTCGAACTCAAAACGAACCTCCTGCCTCAGCCTCCTGTGTGCTGGGATTACAGGCATGTGCCACCCTGCCCAGCTGTCTTTTATTTCTATAGCATTTGTAATCCACAGTGGCCAAGGAGCACTTAGCACCCTAAAATCACAGCTGTGTCTCCTGGGGGACGCATTTTCCAGCAGACCGAAAATCTATGGGGCCAAGAAACAAAATTCTAAGTATGCTATGCTTATGAGGAAAGGTGCCATTTCTCTTGCTCCTACTGCTCCATTGCTAGGCCTATATATTGTAGCTATAGGAAAAAAAAATGGAATTGATTCAGTTTATGTTCCTTTCTTAAAAGAATGCACTACCATTTGTTTGGATGTTGTCTGGCTTCATGAGGAATGTTGGGTGCATAGGGAATGTTGGGTAGATAAGTGGTGCTTTGGTAAACAAGTACAGAATTTTGCAAACCATGGTGATCAGGCACTCTTGATTTTGATGTGTTGTGTGGTAGATCAGTGATTTAAAAATTGCATTAGATGGGAGCCTAGTTTTCTTCTTTACCTCTCCTTGACTGCTTTAGAGTGGCCATCAGACACCCAGCATCTCCAGCCCTTTGTCCCCACACCACTCATCACCAGAGGGTTGGCTGGCTTCCTAGGGCATGTGGGCATCTTTCTCATGGGTCCAGGATCAGCCTGGGATTATCTTGAGGGAGGAGGGTGAATAGCAGCAGCATTAACTAATTGATCAGTACGTATTTATCAGCCCATCACCCTGCACGTCAGAAGGTAGAGTTCGTGGAGTGATTAAAAGTGTGAGCTTTGACACAGCACAGATCAGGCCTGAGCCCTGCAGACCTGGTGGGAGACATGTCCCTCATCTGCTCTGTGGCCTCAGATGAACTACTTGGCCCCTCTGTGTCTCAGTTTCTTATCTGTAATTCTTGATGTTAAAATAAAGTTCTTTATCATAAAAGGCATTGGCTAGACCCACAGGTTTATGAGTAAGTGGTAGCTATTTTTATTATCCCAAATATAAAGAAGAGTTAAATGCGTGTATGGAATTTCCTGCCCAAGACAGGAATGATTCAAATGATCCTTTGCACTTTCGTTCTCTTGTCTGCAAAATGAGGGTGTTTGTACTAATCTCCCTCTCTGCAGGTTCCCATCCACCTTTAGGATATTGACAGGTGGCATCATACTAGCATCTGACAGCACCATAGAATGGATACCACCCACATTGCTCAGGCTACAGGCATTGGTCAGAGAAGTCAATGTTGCCAAGCAAGGGCAGCCCGGAGATGTTGGCTAGGAGGACAGGGCAGGATGGAGAAAAGTGGGGAGACTTCAAAGGAAGCCTCTGTGAGGCAGGAGCCTGCAGTACAGGGGGAAAGTAATAGGATTTTATACTAACAGAGCACTTGCAAGAATACAGAATGTTTTATGGGTCTTAGATTATTTAATCACGCAGTAATAAACTTTGAGTCTTACTGCATTTGTCAGTAGATGAAGTAAGGTGAGCAGTTCTGAAATTTAGTGCTGAACAGCATTCCCAGTGACGATATCATGGCATCTTGCCTAGTTGTTGGGTGGAGGTAGTATACTGTGTCCAACAGTGTTGAATTGCGCTAAAAGAATAAATAAGAGATTGAAATCTGAGATTATTATTTGCATGTGTGTGTGTGTTGGTTGTGACGGTTGTGCAAAGTTATTTCCTCAGAAAATCTAAATAGGAAATGGGTGTTATTGATGAGGAAATTTATGACAACAGTGATTTCCAGTAACCTTTGGAAGAGAGGAGACCCTCTGAGGTCACGGTAGCCAAGGCCAGACCTGTTCAGATGAGGAAACTGTGGCCATCCATGGAGAAAGAATTTGCCATGACCAGTCAAACTCGCACTAGCTGCTGGAAGAATCCAGAGCTCTTGGTGCCTCCTGGTCTCATCATGGCTCTGTGCTGGCCACTTTCCCCAGCTTTTGATCATTTGATAAGTTCAGGCTCAGCAGTCATCATTCCTGTGTAATTGGGAGACCAGAATGTAGGTCTGTGAATATCATCATGTGCCAAGACAAAGCCCATCTCTACTTCAAACAGGAAATCATGTTTACCTGGAGTTGGAAACATAAGTGAGAACTGTTCTGGCTTTGCTGAGGTTCCACACCTTAGTCAGGCCGATTGTTCTTTGTCATTCCAGAATGTTCTAGCTAAGTTCTTATCAGTGCCTTGTGGTCGATTCCTCCTGCCAGACAGCTGTCAGAAGGTCCTGTGACCCTGCGGGCTCTCCAAGTTCTGTCCTCTTCCTGGCCTCAGTTGTTTAAATGGTGTCTTGTTCTGAAAATTTGGTTCTTATTTCTTCTTCTCACAAAAGCAAGGACTGGGGCAAAGATTCCTGGCTCTGATTTGTATCTGCTTATTTAGATGATTTCTGTTGCTTCCTTATATTCAGTGCTTAATTAATATCTATTTCATTTCCAAGCCCATCACTTGGTCACAGGAGGAAAGGCTATGTGGAGAAGGACACGTCTCCCGTCAGTGACTTCCTGTCCTAGCACCTGTTTTTTTTTAAAGGCAAAGTCCCAGATTTTATAAACAACTAGAATACTCCTCACTATGTGACTTTCCCTTCTGAATTCCTCAGGGAGTTTTTAATTTTAATTTTTGCTTAACTTTACATAATGCTGCATTAGCTGTTAGCAGAATGAGACAGAAGAGAAAAATAGTAAGTACAAGAACCAGAAGTTCAGAAGCTACTTGCACTGATCACATTGGCCCTAACAAAGTCTGTAACAAGATATACTCTGATCTGAAGGTGCCATGATGTGTATGTGCAAGTGAATTCTCAGGTCCTACGTAGGTGCTAGTGAAAGTGACGGGAAAAGAAACACTTGTGTAAGTTTTCTAGGAACATGTTTTATAAAGGAGGATATCCTTCCAAACCACATCTTAAGACCTTTCAAACTCAAAGAATAAAAGTTTAAAATATCATAAGTTTTATATGTAATTTTTGACCAAATGTATGCCATGCCAGAATTGTAATTTGTCACATATTCTATAATACTTAAAGAACCAAGAATAAAAAGCAATTTACAGTGCAGTTGTTCCCACTTAAAAAACTGCCTGTTTAAATCCAAGAAGTGATTTAAAGTGGAAGAATGGATTCAGATTCTACTCCCGATTTTGTGAGTGGCTAGCTGGGCAAGTGGCCTCTCCTCCTTCCTCACCTCCTTTTTCAGTGGCTGCTGTTTGAGCCCTGAGTATGTACCAGGTTGCTACTTAGGCCTCTATGTAAGTAATCACAAGAATCTGGAGAAGCAGGTGCTGTTAATTTTTTCCACTAGAAATCTGAGGTGCATAGAGGCCAAATAAGTCATCTAGGAAGACAACTTTTAGGTGGTGAGGTTGGACTGACTTTGAAACCTATCATGGTGACCATCGGGCATACTCTCCCTTCCTGCTGCATAAAATAGACTATGTCATATGGCTCATTTTTACTTTTTACTGTAGAATGATTTATGGTGGTACATAGGCATGATAAGCTTTGATTTACAATAACATAGTACTGGCTTTGTTTAAAAACTGGGTTTTGGTTAGAAGTTTGGTCCTAGAGTATAACTTCTTCCTAGAAGAAAAGTGGTGCATATTAAGATGATTTGCTTCATTGTGCCATATCTGAGAACAGATGTGAAGATGGGATTGGGCAGCAGCTATATATATATCTTTTTCTGTGAGTACAGTGAAACTGTGAAACTTTGCTAAGCATTTTTTTGCTTGCCTGACCATATTTTAGCTTTAAACAACTCATAAATTGGATAAGTATTGAGTAGTTCTAATACTTGGGATAAAATCTTTGTGAATATTAACATTTAGGTAACAGATCTTCTTGAATTGTCATTTTTCTTGAGTATAGGGCACTTTTTTGGGATTATATCCTGGATGTTGTGATTGTTACATTGTGGAAGTTATGGATTCAGTTACATTCCTCTGATGGGTATTGATTTTGTTTGTTTTGCCAAATGAGAAGTTGGATTCCAACTGCAAACTGTGTCTCTTGGGTGGCAGCAGAAATCTCTGTTTGTTCTTTGTCTCTATGTCAACAAAGAGTGTTCTTGGACCGTGTTTGCTGTGATTACTTGTCCTATGTTGCTATGAGGGTGGCATTGGCTCTATATCTGGTCCATGTTGATGTGTGAAGAAGAAAAAAGCAGCTTCATGTTTAAGGTGAGCAAGCACAGGCAGGGGCCATGGTCATCTTCCCAGAAACTTTGAGGGACTTCACTCTTGGACATCTGTCCCAAGCTCCTGGTCTTCCTTCACCCTCCCTTCCTTCCATGGAGCCCATCCTCCCACATTCCTTGGTATGGCATCTTGGAGATTTGTTCCACATCTCCAGCTCCTTCCTCCTGCACCAAGCTTTAGCTGAATGCCGTGCACCTACCTTTGCAGTGCCTCTTGGTACTGGCTTGTTTTCTCTATTCCTGTTGTCTTGCCTGGATAAGTGTGACAGCCTCACAACTGGCTGGTGATGACACTTAATAACAACAATAACTGTTCACAATGTTCACATCTATTAACTTGTTTCATCCTGATAACATTTGATGAAGTACCTGCTATGATTACACCCACCTTACAGATGAGAAAACTGCTAGGGAATAGAGCACAGCCAGGATGTGAACCTCAGTGCCTATCTTGATCCAGGAGCTGTGCCCTCACTCCCTCATTAGACAGCTCTGCTTGACATGTAACCAGGAGGGTACTTGCAGGGTAGAGATCCTGTCTTTTTTGCGCTCACTGGGACTTGAGGTAGACAGGGAACTCAGGGATTATTAGTGGTTTTTGCCAAAGGAAACCCAGCCTCAGTGGTCTGGTGCTGGATGTGATTCAGACAGGCTGAGTGATGGGGCAGGGGGAGAGCGGCCTTTTGGCACGGTAGATGTGGCCGTTTGCCTGCCCTTAAGGGTCAGCCACAGGAAAGGGAAGTGTACTGCCCTTTTCTGGCTTCATCTAATTATGTGGCTTTTTTTTTTTGTCACAGTTATAAAGATTTAATTGCTCCATTGTACTGGGCCATCGGGGCCTCTTATAAGTCATTTTTTATGATTGGTGATAATTGGCTCAGCTTGAATTGGCTTCAGCTAGTCACAATTTCCTTACCATTTTTAATTTAAGGTCTGATTTTAGCTTTATCCTTTTTCTGAGTAAAGTTTTTTTTTTTTACTTTAAACTCAGTGGGTTATAGGAGGAAATACTTTTTCCCCTACCTCATTGCCCTGCTTGGGTTGACTTACGCAAGTATATGATCTAAAGACAGTAAAGATATGAAAAAACATCTTAAACTGTTTCAGTGGCTTGCAACCGAAAATGGCCCCAGGTGTCACAACGTGCCCCTCTCACTGTCAGCGCTGTTAGGATCTGATGCCTGATCATGAGGTGAGGGCACATCCAATAGTCCTGGGGTATAGGCAGATAACCTGTAAGGGAGGTCTGCTTATCTGCAAAAAACTCGAGACAGAACCCAGTATATCAAAAATTTATGACGGCGAGGATTTGGAAAAATCCTAAAGATAAGTTTCCAAATGAAAAAGATAAAAATCCTGTCGCCTGAAAGGGAATGAGGTATGAGGCACATAAATTAAGCTGACAGAATTTCTAGAAAGTGAAAAGTGTGCTGTGGCACCGCCAACTGTAGAATATAAATACATCTCACCCCGTTACCATCCTGGGGCGGCAGTCTCTGTATTGATGTTTGTGTTTTGAGTCAGCACTTCCTGAATGCTCCAGTCTTGGTGTCTGGCAGACTTGATTTATGAAGAAAAGATGACGGTAATAAATGGGAAAGGTTTGCTGAGGAATTAATTTGGGGTTAGGCGTAAGAGCCAGTCTGCTTCTCCCTGCCTCTTTCCCCTAAGTGTACTCGGCACATGGGTGTCGCCAAAAGGTTACACAGTGGGAGTGAGGGACACAGGCTCTTACCGCCTCCTCCTCCTCCTCGGGTCCCCTCCCTGCTGTCTGCCAGAGTCCCTGACTGTGAGCAGCTCTCCTCCGTCCCTTTCTTTCTTTCCTCCATCCAAATTTGTTTCCATTCACTCTTCTCTGCTTAAGGCTTTCCATGTTTGTCCGGCACAGTTGGCTCTGAACGTCTAGGTGCCATCCGCGACACTGTTGCCCACATCTCTTTGGGGAACCCATCTGAGGCTGCTTTCTGTGCTGCACCTTGAACTGTGAGCCTCTTCTGAGGTTCAGGTCCTTTCCTTCCCCTACAGAGCGCTCACCCTGGGGTGGGAGTGTGTTTCCCATAGTGAGGATCAGGAACGAATCAAGTATCTGGACAGAGAGAGGAAGGAGAGAACGATGGCCACACGGTCAGAGGTAGCAGGGGCCACCGTGTGTGGGGCCTGTAAGGAGCATGGATTTTACTCTGACGTGTTCTCTCACTGATGCTGCCCGAGCAGGGGGGCAGCTACTCAGGCAGCTGGCTTTGTGAGCTGCGTGGCCTCTGCATATGTGAGATGTTGCTGACCTTTTGCTCTTTGTTTCCCCAGACTGAAAGACAAAGATGGTAAAATTTATTTTTCTCCCTTCCCACCACTTCCGGCAGCATCATACCCACCTGGTTCTTCTTTCCAGCATCTTTGTGTTCATCCCTGTATTTTACAGTTCACTGGTTCCCTGGCTCAGGCTGTCACCTCAGGAGTGTGATGCGGCGATGGCTTTCTTCTTCTAAAACCCTCCCCTCTTTCACCACACACGCCCACACACACGCACACAGCTCACATGCTCTCCGCATCACCAGAGTAAGCACTGACCTTGAGATCATTGTTCCCCCCCACCTGGCCTTTGTGTCTGTGTCCTCGCTTTGTGTTCTACCCCCTTTCCCTGTAGCATGATCACTGTGTCTTGGCTTGTATTAGGCACTCATTGTCTAAAAGAACTTGGTACATATTGTTCCAGTTATCCTCTGCTAAGTCAACTGCTCCAAAGTTCAAGCCATGCTTCCCTTGCCATGATTCTTGGCTTGTTTGGGCTTAGCAGGGTGAGTCTATTCCACGTGGTATCAGCCAAGGCCATTTGTGGGGCTGTCTCAGCTGAGAGCTGGAATGGAAGACCCAGGATGGTTCTGGGAACATGTCTGACAGCTGATCCTGGGGCATGTTGGTGCTCCTCCAGATGGT